TGTGGGCTGGTAACAGATTTGTCTGGGCAGAGCAGGATGGCAAGATACCAGTGCCAGGGTCTGCCGCATAGGAGCTGCTGGGTTGGCACTTATGCTCCACAAGCTACCTGAGAAGTGATTCACTGGTTAAATTAAATAGCTGCTCTCAATGTATTTGAAAAGCGGTATCTTTTTGTGTACGTGTGTGCACATGTCTGTGTGTGCTTGCTATCTAATAGACAGGATAGTATCAGCAGTATTGGTCTGGGAGGAACGGCTTGGCTCTGCAGGTTTTGGCTATGTAACATCAAACTATTTAGGCAATGAGATTTAAAGTATGTGCCTGAAAGAAAAATAAAAATGAAATTGAAAACAAAGTGGGAATGTAGAGATAAAGGAGAAAGCACACTGACACTACCTTTGATGTCTTGATATACTGGGAGGAAATAAAGTCTCTCCAGGGTAGCTAACAGATAAAAATAGGGGGAGAGAGGGAGGGGAGATCCATACATAGATATACACAAACACATATATATACATATACCTACATAGAGATAAATTATAGTAATAACACTGATGTCTTCCTATATAAATTGGCTTCTGTAACTGATTTTAAAATACCCCTGGGGACCCAATTCAGTCTAGATTAATTTGGCTTAATTCTAAGCACTAACCTGAACATCTAAAATTGCAAGCAGACGGTCCCTGTATACCCTTCTGATAAAGCACATCAATCAGTCTGAGGTAAAATACCTCCAAGAGCAGTTCCTTGTGTCCTGAGGCAATGTGGCTACAAACACAGGCCCCTGTTAAGTGCCTAGACTTCAGTGGTACGGATCTGGGCTTTCTTTTTGCTACCCCGCTTCACTGTCTTTGATATGCTCCTCTATAGAGAAGACTGTGGTACTTGGTTTCCTTTCTAACTATTTGAGATCTCAAAGATGAAAAGCACTAAAGATGTGAATGCACAGTGACTTTTTCATGGTTGCTTCAGCTGATGTGTTTTACTTGAAAATAAGGTAGCTTAAAAAGGTCAGTTACTGTCATGACACCTGCTAGTAATTCATTATGTAGAAGCTGCTTTCAGCTACGTGGCCTGAGTAATATGGCCTTAGCCTATAAAAGGAATCATAGAACCATGGAATCACAAAATCACAGAACAGTTTTGGTTGAAAGGGACCTTTAAAGATCATCTAGTTCCAATCCCCCTGCCATGGGCAGGGACACCTTCCACTAGACCAGGTTGCTCAAAGCCCCATCCAACCTGGCCTTCAACAATTCCAGGGATGGGGCATAAAATAGAAAAAGGAAATAAAATAGAAGGGATAGGCTTGATCTGTTTGTTTGAAGTTGGTCGGAGAGCAACACATCCTTATCCCTTGCACATTTCTGTGGGAGCTTTTTGTCTGCACAAGTAATAAAAAATATTTAGAGTCAGTCTTAATAACCTTGACCATGCAAAACTTGTATTTTCATGCAGAAGGTGTTTTATAAACCAGAAAAGAAGTCAAAATAAAACTTGCATTAAATATTTCATATTTGAGAACCAAGTAGTGAAAAAAGATGCATTCAGCATTCTTCTCTGTACTCTCGTCAATAATGAAATGCTATAGTAAGAATGTTATATTAAATGAAAACATTATATTAAATAAGAATATCATTGTAGACACATATTAGTAATATCCCATTTTGACATTGATTTATGCTAGCATGAAAGAAGCAACATTGTAATGTGCTAGGAACGAAGCCAGTGCTACCTACAATAACAACCACATAATGTGAATGCCTTAGAAATGTTAAGGGGAATATTTTTAAAACAAGTAATTTGTTGAAATATACTTAGCCTTAATTTGCATTTCTGTACTTTAATTCTATCAATATATGCAGAAAAAGGTTACCTTAATAAACAAAATCTTATTTCACCATTCCCATTCAACAAAGCATGTCAAAGAATGCTTTTTCTTATTTGTGTACTTTAGCCTAGCAAGCCTAAACTTAAATCCATCCTTCCTCAGCTAAATTTTAAATGCATGTGCTAGAGATAGGACTAGACTCCAGAATGGTTTTGGAAAATAAAAGCGTGTGTGCATGCAGTTATTAAATAGATAGGGGAGCTATAATTTGGGGTTTGTGCAGGCAAATGCATGTGCATAACTTTTACAGATATCAGCTGAGCCCTAACTTTGGACATGTTTCTCCAACTGCCATTACTTGAACAGTATGTCTGCTTTTTGCATTGCTTTTACCATTTTGTTCTTTAATGAACAATGAAAGGTTCAAAGCATAACTCCTGTGGCAAATACATCAAAAACTGTCTTTACTATTTACCTGGAAGAAAGCTACTTATTAATGAAATCCAAAAAAATATTTTGTTTAATATATTAATGAGTAAATATGAAGATGTTTCTGTTTTTCAGTTGACATATGTTAGCCTTTTATGGAAAAAAAAAGAACACTTAACTTTCTTAGGCTGAAGAAACTGGAGAACTGAAACAACTGATTTTTCATTAACGCCATAGAAATAATTAAGGTTTAGAAATATTTTCACACATTTGTAAAAGTATAGATTTTTTTTCCAGCCTGGATAATGGTAACCATAAGTGCGAAGAAAAAAATTAAAAATCTGCGACTCACAAATGCTATAGTATTTTAATCAGCACGTTAGAAGGAAGTTTATGGTGATCTTATTTTTGGATTATTTATATCTATAAAAGACTACAGAAATAGAGTGTGAAAAGATTGTTATATTGAAACTTTTCATTAACAGAAAGACATCACTATACTGCAGTCTTCTATATTCTCACCAAATAATTAAAACACAGTAATAATGTTTATTACTAAGGATATACCAAACACTGTGCTCAGCATAACATTGTCTGGCCTTTATCTCTAGCCTCACATTTATTATGTGTATTAATTTAGCTTCTAGAACAGCTTGTGGATGTCTCTCTAGGCAGCCAGATGTTTCACAAATAGATGCTTAGAGAGCTCATTTCCAGTTAAGTCCCTTTCTGTCTGAACAATAGCCCATTTAAATCCAATATAACTCCTGGCATATAAAGCACAAGTGACTTTTCAAAAATATCTATTCTCACGTTGACTCTTTTGACAATTTAGTATAAGAACCTAGTGTTGACTTGCAGTTGACAAAAAACCATTCAGCTGCATATCTACAGCATGACATTGTTATAGGGACTTTAATGACTATATAAAGAATATGAAAGATAAATGTCTTAAAACATGATGGAAAGGCTTTAAAAAACCTGCAAAATAAGCCCTGGATGTTCTTATGCAGAATTAAAATGAGACTCAAGAACTTTGCTACCCCTTCCCTAGATTTGGAAGACAGCTTCTTAAATCTGGACCAGCTTTATTCCAGTTTCATCTATAAGGGCAGGATTTTCAAGACTCCCCCTTTGCACCTCAGCATGTCAGAAACTCTTTTGTAAGAAGAGAACTGAAATGTTCTTATAATCCTGTGAGTTCAGATACTGGCCCTTTAAAACTATTATCAAATATCCAATGTAAAGTTGTGTCAGTTGGGTTTTTTGTCAATAGCATTTAGATTGGAAGTTTTCACAAAGATGGTAGTGGTCTATGAGTCATCTGAGATAACCTATAAAGAAAAATGAAAGAGAAACTTGTTATAGCTTGTCCACAAGCCAACACACAGTGGACTTTCTGAGATAAGACTACGGGTGACACTGAGATCATCTTCCTGAGATAAGTGCCAACAGCAACCTTTCTTTGACAGGAGAAAAGACAAGACCCTACAATTTTGTGAAGATTTATCCAAATAGTTCACATATTTTGATTATATCTATTTAAAGATTGTTCATTTTTTGTTTAGCTGAACTATATCTTCTGATGCCAGATTTCTCACAAGCAGCTGAAAGTTATTATTACTGCATTGTAGCAGAACAGAAATATGTGAAGATGTAAGCATAATATGGTTTTAATGGAGTATTCTAATATTATGCTCTTATGAAAACTGAAATGAATAAAACTGGTTTTTAAGAATGCAGAGTCCCACACTCTGATGAAATAAGATATATAACTTCAGCATAGTAGAAGTGACAGTTATACGTGTTTTTTTTCTCTCAAGTCACATTTCCATAGCTGGTATAAATCTTAAACCAGAATAAGGCAGTGATTCGATTAAATTAGTCTGGAGTACTACATAAGCTATGTATAATGCTGGGAGTACCTGAAAACAGATGCACACATTCATATTTTTCATCAGGTATATGGCTAGCACCCCATATGAAAAATACATACTGTAAGTTTCTTTAGCTATTTTATTTAACTTTTACATTTAAAACTCTACCTGGAAAAAAATGCTTTGCTATCTCACATTCTTTTAGGGCTGCACTCAGCTGTAAGCCTTGAACGTGTATATCCACATTCTTATTCACCTAATGATGAGGTCGCTAAAATACTCATGTTCCTCACTTAGGCTGCTCACCGTGAATAATCGCATTGCCCTGAAGGGTTTGGTATACAGTACTCAAAGTAAGGTGTACTGTTGAATATGCAACATCAATCTCACACACTTTCCAAAGCACAACTTCATGGTAAAAGGAGAACACCGAGAATCCCGTCTGATAATAGTGAATTCACATCTATTAACTAAGGGAAAATTTCCAGTATTCTGGAGCCACTAAAGTTTCATAAAATTGTTTTCTTTGCCCAGAGAGTCATAGAAACAGAAAAGTCATTCTGAATGTGTCATGCATGCCTTTGCAGAATGTTGGCTTTCCAGTTTTTTGCTATTTGTACTGATGTGATAATATCCAGACTGCTGGATCATCACTGCTGTTCCATGTTCTGTGCAGCCACTGAAGCAGACAGATACCCTTTCCGTAGGAGTTCAAAATGAACACGCTATTTGTCTTTAAAGCTGCAAAAGCTGTTCTTTAAAAGAATGTCATTTAACTTTCTTTTTTTTCTGCAAGAGTTAGATATTTCTACATCCTATATTTCTTGTTGAGCTTTGCTTCTCTGTCTCTCATATTCTGCAGACACTGTAGAAGATGAAATGGAAATGGCCACAGTACGACACAGACCTGAAGCTCTTGAACTGCTGGAAGCACAGAGTAAATTCACAAAGAAGGAACTTCAGATCTTATATAGAGGTTTCAAGAACGTAAGCACTTCCTTTTTGAATTTATCATCCATTTACAGGATAGGCCACTGCAATCTCAGCAGTATAAGAATGACTGGCAATGAAGCTCATGGGATTCAGTAGCTAAATACAGCATGTCTGGTCAGGTGAGGAAACAATCAGTCTGCAACAGTTGGGCTGTTTAAAGACCAAAAGATGCAGACAAATTAGAAAACATCCAGAAGGGAATTGTAACTTAATATAGTAGGACTTTGTTGAAGGACAGATTGAAAATTGTGTTGGAGTTGTTTGTCTAAAGATGAAATAATGGGAGAGAACGTAAGTCCTGAAGAACTTGGTCAGTAAGAAGAAAGATTTTGATTTTTGTGTTCACATTAGCTATCACAAGAAGTAATTGGTATAAATGGCACAAGAGGCATTTTTGGTTAGGTGGACAGCAGTAGATGACTTCCTCAGTCCTTCCTAGCTCGCCAAGTATATAAACTTGTCAGATTCCTTTACTGGGGGTCATTATTTGTGATCTTTTTTTGCTGATATATGTGTTCTATTGGCAGGTCCAATGTTTTTAGTTGGCGGGGATCCCCACTGAGGACCCCAGTGCATGAGTGCAGTCTGCCTCCTTTTCCAGTGTGTACTTGCTGTCCTGTGGTGCTGGGCTTGGTGCTGGCATCTAAGGTATCCGTGGTTAGTACAGCAGAGAAATAAGACACAAAAAGATTTTACTAAGTATAATTAAATTCTGGCTCTAAACCAAAAGTAAGACCTGTCCCTGATTCTGTTAATACTGTACAAAAAAAAAAAAGAAAAAAGAAAAAAGCTGCTTTCTTAAAAAAATAGCCCTTTTCTCTCTGTTTTATTCTACTATCTTTCATGTGATTAACAGTTCTATAGGTTATTATATGCCATTAACATTGGATTGAAAATACTTCATATTAAAAAAAACTTGAATAATAGCAATTGCTTCCAAATCATGAGTGTGTAATGTTAATCTATGTACTCAGTTGTGAGTACTGCAATTGTGCAGATGCTAAGTCTCCTGCTGAGCTGGAGGTAAAGACAAATTTAATTACATTTTTCACCTTTTGATTTAGTTTTTCTTTCACCCTTACAAAAGGGCCTTCTTCTTGCCCTTGGCATTTACCACTCGAGTGAAATTGTGTAACAAAGTATAATAAAGCTAAAAGCACAATGAAGCTCAACTACGGAATCAGAGAGAATATTTTCAATAGCTTGTACAAGAAGAAGTGTAAATCTTACAGAATTCTTAGATATCATGTATTTTGTAATAAAAGCAAGCCATGCAAATGGATATTTTAAAACTACATTTTTATCAAAAGCCTACAATGCAGGTAAAATACAGAGTCACTTAATGTGTCCTTTCTATATATCATCCTCAGTTCCAGAAGGCATATAATGTTGGCATGTTAGTGATTAAAAGTGATTGCTCTTAAAAGCTTTTCATTTCCTCAGGGTACCAGAGAACATTCCCCTGCTAATGCCAGTATTCCCTAGGTATTGCAAATCATGAACTAACGTCCCTAATTATCTAAGGCAAAAAGGTACAAAGTATAGTGTATAAAATAAGCCTGTCTTTTTCTCTAAGAATAATTATTTTTAGACTCTCAGAAATTAAGGACATTGGTAATTTTCTGCATAAAATGAGGTATGGAAAAAGAGAATAGGTTATAAGGAAGTATTTTAATTGATTACTGTTTTACCGTTTTTTGAAAAGAGGAATTCCAGCTCTTCATATGCTTTTGTGTTCTAAGATGTAAGTTCTACTTACATCAAAGGAGCGTCGATGGTAATACATGGTAATAGATCTTTATTCAGGTGTTTCATTTCCTTATCACTATATGCAAGTACAATTCAAGACATGCGTGTATAAATATCTTCGAATGTTTAGAGCTAATGAGCATGAACTTGAGGGTTTTTGTGTTTAATATAATTGCAAAATTAAGTTACTTTCAAAAATGCTGTAAAACATGCCTAGGGCTGGTGACTGTTATAAAAGTAAATCAATTTAAAGCAGTAGTCTTTAGCCCAAGCATTAGACTTCAGAAATGAAGGATTTCAAAACTTTCAGTTGAGTTGGGCTTTGTTTTGTTTCTCATATTTATCAGTTTCTACTGCAAAATGCTCTGCAGCTCTATGAGTGGCTTGCCTATGTGGATTAGTTCATCTTTCCTGTCACATCTCTACCTTTTACCAAATACAGTTTGAGCGGCGTTGGTGGGTACTGATACAGGATGGCATTAAAGTGCCTCCCATGGTCTGTGCTTAGCTGATCTCCCCCTGACAGTGCTCAGTCCTCCACTTCTGTCTGCCACAGGCCACCTCCCTTCTCGCTCCCCTTCTTTCTGATCCGGCTTAACACTATCCTGCCTGTGTGCTTCATGCGCCTATATATATATATATTGGGAGCCACCCAGCTGGACAGCAGGTTTGCAGAAAAGGACCTGGGGAGTCCTGGTGGACACCAAGTTGAACATGAGCAGCAACATGCTCTGCGACAAAGGTGGCAAGCGGTATCCTGGGCTGCATTAGGCAAAGTATTGCCAGCAGGTCGAGCGAGGTGATCCTTCCCCTCTGCTCAGCACAGGTGAGGGCACACCTGGAGCGCTGGGTCCAGTTCTGGGCTCCGTGGTACAGGAGGGACACGGACATAGGGGAGGGAGTCCAATGAAGGGTCACAAAGATGACTAAGGGGACTGGAGCGTCTCTTCTATGAGGGAAGGCTGAGAGAGCTGGAACTGATCAGCCTGGAGAAGAGAAGGCTCAAGGGGGATTTCATCAACGTGTATGTTACTGTGTATATCAGTACCTGAAGGGAGGGTGTAAAGAACACAGAGACAGGCTCTTTTCAGTGGTGCCCAGTGACAGGACCAGAGGCAGTGGGCACAAACTGGAACACAGAAGGTTCCCTCTGAACAGCAGGAAACACTTCTTTACTGTGAGGGTGACCAAACACTGGCACAGGTTGACCAGGGGGGCTGTGGAGTCTCCATCCTTGGAGATATCCAACAGCTGTCTGGACATGGTCCTGGGCAACCTGCTCTAGGTGGCCTGCCTTGAGTGGGGTTGTGGGACCAGATGACCTCCAGAGGTCCCTGCCAACCTCAACCATTCTGTGATTCTGGCATATTCTGTTTAATCTTTCCACTAGGAAGGAAACTCCACTGAAAATATTTAATGAAACACACAGGCACACATCTTTAATATGACACCATCAAAACTTGTGCAGATCCTACCTCTGTGCTTTATGCTTTTCACATGATGTTCGCCTGTCTTACTATCTCTTCAACAATTTAACTATAGGAAGCAAGATATGTTAAGGCATGAATTTAAGTTGCTGTAGCTCTGCTGACATTATGCTCCTGTTAGACTAAATTTACAACATCCCGCAGCACAGTAGCATCAGCATTGCCCTGTGCGCTGGCAGCAGTTCAAAAGAGCTGTAGTGCAGACTGTGGTCCTAAAGGCAATAGTCAGCTGTCATAGTCACTATATATGCTCTGGTGAATTCAACAGAATTATGCCCTATATATGGATTTTTGCTGTATTTGTTTCACCAATGAACTATAGAATAACCATTGCTATGTGATCACTTGATTTTTGGAATCAACTTGCAGTAGTTAAGCTAGTTCAACCATATCAGTTAAACTAGTTACTGCATGCTAGTCTAGGAGTGAATGTTGGTTTCGGGCAGCATTTTCCCATCTATAAATCTACAGGTTGCCTATCTCTTCACAGAAGGAACAGACAGCAACTCTATCCTTATATAAAGCCTAAAAAAAAAAAGGGAGATTTTCAATAGTTAAACTGTAATACTACCAGAAGATAAATATCTGTAATAGCGCAAGTATTAATAACCTTAATGAACACAAAACTTTAAGCTTTAGAAAGGACAAGACTTCATACCTACTATGGTGATAGTAGATATAAGTTCAAAACTGACATTTCTTTCTGAAGAACTTTGATATCTCTATAGTATAATAATGCTTTAGGTGTGTCAGAAAGTAATGAATAAGTGAAGTGGAATTTTTTTCTGTATATTTTCAACAGCCTTTCTAGTACGCACATTTTTCCCTCTGTCTTTATGCAAGCATGGCAGGAAGAAATAGGTCCCAGACATAATAATGAAAAAACAATTAATGAAACAGAAGAAAAGCGATACTCAGTCCCTTTACCTCAGTATCCTGTTTTCAAGAGTGGCCAGATAAGGGGAAGACCTTAAGAATAAGGGGAATATAGAGTGATAATTCCCCTAACATACTGTTCTGTCACTGAAAGTTGTAACTGCATCTTTGTGTTTTACATACTTTGGCCAAAGTCTCTTCCATAAACTGTGGTAATTGCTTTTTGAACCTATGAGGGTATTTTGACATCTACAGCATCCTGTGGGAAATTAGCTCCATACCTATTTATGCCTTCTGTGAAAAATAATTAATTTCTGTGTCAAACCTGCTGCCTTTTATTTTATTAAGGTGTCTATAGTATTTCTGCTATGAGAAAATGAGTAAACATTACCACTACTTCTCTAAGATATTCACTGTGTTACACACCTCTAACACGTTTCCTACTTAGTCCTTTCTTTTCCTAACTGAAGAGTTTTTGTCTATATAATCTCACTCTAGCCTGAAGATTCCCCTGAATCCTGTCTAGTTCTAGGATGTCTGTTCTGAGATAGAGATGACCAGAACTTCTCACAACTTATGTCCAGTTTTTTATTATTTATGACTACAAATTACTTGCATATAGTTGTGACTGAATTCAGATGAGAAAGCACAAGCACTCCTGTATTTCTGTAGTGCTGGTGATTACAAAGTTTGATTTATTATGTGGTTTTTACTTATACAAAAATGAAAAGGTAAACCTTTCAAGATATTTTCATGAACTTGATTTTCCAGTGTAGGCTAATTACACGCCAAATCCAGCAAAAAGTAATTCAAGCAGAAGGAGCAGAGACTCTCAGATAGGCATCTCTGTGTGTATGTACACACCTGAAAACTTCAGAGAGC